TGAGGCAAGGACCTGCGGTTGCGTTAACTAGCGCACCGTAAGCCGGGTTTTGACCATCCTCATATGAACATGATGGTGGTGGTGGTGATGATGGTGATGATGGTGGTGTTGATGATATTGATGATGTTGTCGATGATGATGATGATGATGATGATGATGATGATGATGACGATGATGATGATGATGATGATGATGACGTTGATGATGATGTTGAAATTGATAAGGATGTTGGTGGTGATGCTGATTATAATGACGATGATGAGGAGGAGGAGAAAGAGGAGGAGGAGGAGGAGGAGGAGGAGGAGGAGGAGGAGGAGGACACCCTTGGTGATTACGGCGATGAAGATAGTAATCATTATTACAATAGTGAGAATAATGGTGATCATTCCCCCTCCCCTACGCCACGGTTCTGTCAACAAAAAATCTCCACTATCACCACCATCATCACCACTATCACCACCACCATCATCATTATTTTCGTCGTCGTCGTCACCATCAATCATCATCTTCACCATCAGCATCATCGTCATCGTCGTCGTTATCATCATCGTCATCATCATCGTCACCATCAGTATCGTCATCATCACCATGTGCGAACGATCGTGCTATTGCCTGTGATCGTCGGCGTTGTCGTCGCGAGGCGCATCAAAGCGTGGGCCGACACCTTCGTAGCTACTATTCCGGCCGGGTTTTTTTGAGTGCGCCAGACAATGCAGACAAGTGTTGGACATCGCCTTCCCGGCAGCGTTCGCCGACGAGGGGGGCATGGACGGGCGCTCTGGCATGACTGTCGCCCAAGAGGGCATCGAGAAGTTCTACGACGGTCTTAGGGGTTTGCGCATTGTCTTGTGGCTGGGAGACCGATATGACTGCGCAGACGTCTGCGCGACTTTCCTGCGGATGCATTCTCTGCCGACCATTGCGTTGAGCGTGGGGTCGCATCAGGCCGTCTTCAAACATCGATGTGTTGGCTTTTTCCCAGGGTCCAGGTCGGCAGCTACCGCTGGTAGATTGCCCCTGGTGGACGTTGCCGCTGGGTGTCTCCCGGGTTGGTGACGTTTTGCTTTGCAGGTGGACGGTCTGTGCTTCTGCATGGCTACCTTCGTGGACAACCTGCTCACGATCGCGGAGACACAGGAGAACGTCATCAGCATAACGGCAAGTTGCCAGTCTAAAGATCGGTCAGGACACGAAGGAGTTACTGACATGCAGGGCCTACCCGTACACCATTAACGTTCCACCAGACTGGATGAGGAGCAAGGTTCTGAAGTGCCTCGACCACCACATCGACGACAACGGTGGCAGACGCAGCTGCTTCCTGAAGTTCACAGCGGCCATGATACAGTTCTTTACGCCAAGTTGAACGCCAGCATGCTGCGAGTGCCGGCCGCTGCCAAGTGCTGGTTTTTGAAAACATGCGTGCGCACCGTTGGTAGGTTTCGTTGGTCATGGTAGCCTTAGGTCAAGACATACGCGCGCAAGCTATACAGGGTCCAGCGCACTTTCCTCACTTCTCAAGTAGTGGCGAAGCGTCTTGGCGTGCTTACAGGCCTCGCAAACAATGTTCTGAGAACCTTTTCTGTGGTTTCCACGGAATGTTCTTAGATGATGGTTGGGACTGTCTTGTTTTAACACATCGGGGCAATGTTCTAAGAGCATCGTTTTTGTTCTTAGAACATGCTGGGGTTCTAAGAACATTTCGTGGTAGGCTTATAGGAATGCCGGGACGGTTGGTCCCTGCTCAAGCTTCCTTGATGCAGATCAAGCGAAAGAGCGGCGAGCCCCCCGATGTCTTCGCACAGAGGCGGCATCTTGGGGGCCGCCTGGCTACAGCATGTGGCGAATGGAGCACTGCGGGGGCCGCTTCTGGAGTGTCCTGGAAAATTTTGAGGTGAATTTCGTATGGATTGTTTGAGCCAGGAATGAAAAAGAAACCACGCGAAATTCACTTCGTTTTTCACACGCTGTTTCGGGGTTCTGCATTGACAGACATCCACGCAAAAATTCCGCAGCAGCACGTCTGCAAGGTCGGTGCAGTGAGACTCGTGGTTGCCGGTTTTGGCACTATTCGCACGGAGAGTCCCGCACGAAGACATGTGTTTACCATGGACGTGTACAACAGCGATGGAGCGCCGGCGTAGAGCTGGCACGGCACGACACGCAGTATACAGAAGCAGTTTGCGAGTTTTCGTCTTCTGCAGCGCAGCGTTTCAGATAACATTTTATGCTCACCCGTCGACTGGCTGTTCCAACGCCAGAGATAGACAGAGTCATCATCACCTTCATCATCATCGTCATCATCACCACCATCATCATCACCCTCGTCGTCATCATCAGCAGCATCATCATTATTATTATTATCATCATCATCATCTTGGTCGTCATCGTCATCGTCGTCGTCCTCGTCGTCAGCGTCTTCGTCGTCGCCGCCAGCGGGAGTTCGTCGGCGGCGGCAGCTCGCACTTCGGGGGCGTCAGCCACCGCTACTGGGAGAGCCGCGGCCCTCCCCCCCAGGGGGTGGAGCGAGGAGGAAGCTGCATGCTGCGGCATATGTGCATGTAGGCACATACAAAAAAGGGAGAGGGAGGGAGGGAGAGGGAGAGAGAGAGAGAGGGGGAGGGAAACGACGGAGAGAGGAAGGGAGGGAGGGAGGCAGGATGGAGGGGAGGAGTGAGCTGCATGCTGCTGCATAGGAATACGTCTAGATGCAACTACGCGTACATGGTTTATATGTTTAATATTTACAGGCATACATCCATTCATACATACGTCGTACATACACACATACCTATATACATATTTGCATAAACCCACATGCATTATGTACATATATACATACATGCATACATACATACATACATACATACACATACACACATATATACATATATACATACATACATACATACATACATACATACATACATGCATACATACATACATTCAGACATACAGACAGATAGACAGACAGACATACATACATGCATATATGCAATCACATACAAGTAGATACGTACTTACATACATGCATACACACAAACACATACACAGACAATCATACATACACAGACACACCTACACATATATATATATATATATATATATATATATATATATCGATATGTAAGCAAACATACATACACACATACATACATACATACGTACGTACGTACATACATACATACATACATACATACATACATACATACATGCAAACATACATACATACATACATACATACACACATACAAAATATGTCGGGACCCTGGCCCTGGGGTGAGACACCCTCCCAGCTTTCCATCTTTCGACCGCACACCCTCCGCGGCGTCCCAGGCTTGCATCTAGCCGCCCAAAACGGCTACGGGGGCGAGCATACGCGACAAGAGCGGCGCAACAAGGCTCAAGGGCGGTTCGAACATCTTCGAGACAGCCCAAGAGGTTGCGAAGACGTCCAAGGAAGGCTCCAAGATGCTCCCCCCAGAGGGCCCCCGGAAGCCAAAATCACCACATCCCCTCAGGACAAGTTGTATGTTTTGCATCTTGACCTGAGTCTTATCAGCGTCCGAGATGGACCACGAGGCCCGTAAGATCGCCCTAAGACGGCCCACAGCTATTTCCAAAAGGCCCAGGACTGTCCAAGAGGCGGCCAAGGCGGTAAACTGACATTTCCGACCTTCCGCCCGAAGTGGACCCCCGAGGCTGCCAGCAGGCCCCCAAGAAGTCCCCAGTGCCCCCAACAAAAAGACCCCGAGATGCCGCCGACTGGCCCGAAAAAGCCCAGAGGGGGGGCGGTGAAAACTGGCTCCAAGAAGCGACACGGAAGCATGCCAAGCAAGAGATCCCAACAGGTAATCATCCAAGAAGTTTGTTACTGACAGCCCAGGCACTGTGGCGGGATGGGCCGAAGGCCAGCAGGTTCGCCGCCCCAAGTGGCGTACCTCACCACCCACCAAACCACCCCAACCCAACCCGAAGGCTCAGATTTACCCTCGATTTCCAGTAGGGGGGGGGTCGGGAAACATCGAAAAAGCACGTGTGGAACCCTTACCCCCCCCAACCCGAAATTCGGGTCTTCGGGTTGGGTTGGGGTGGTCTGGTAGGTAGTCATTACCGCAGTGGTGCACGGCGTGCCAGATTTGTTGTTTCGGTTCTTCCAAAAGTTCACAGTGGGATCTCGGCCCATCTCACCGGCCGCGCGGAAAAAGATGTGCCCCGTCGGCTTTCTCGCCTCAGATGGCCTCAAGATGGTCTACAAAAAATTGAAGATGGCCCAAGATGCCTCCAAGACAGTCCCAAGGTGCCTCCAAGACGGCCCAGGTTTGACTCGAAGACGGTCCCAGCACGGCCCAAGATGACGCAAGAGGCGCCCAAGACGGCCCAAGAGGCTTCTAGGAGGCCCTCCATGAGGCCAACATTGTTGACTTTTTTTACATGTTTTCAATGATTTTCTGATTACCGACGCTCCAAGACGGCCCCATACACACCCGAGATCGCCGCAAGAAGCCCCCCAAAGGCCCGCAAGACTGTCCAATAGGTCCCCAAGACGAACCAAAAGGCTCCCCAAACGGCCCCATATATTAGCAAGACGGCCAGAAAGCGCCCAAAGGCCCAGAGGTTCCGTAGAGGCCTAGAGGCCACCAGAGGCCTCCAGAAGGCCCCCACGAGGCCCCAGGAGACCCCCCCAAGAGGTCCCAGGAGGTCCCCAAGAGGTCCGTCAGAGGCCCCCAAGGGACTCCCAGGAAGCACCCATAAACTGTGTGTAACACGATCCGCGTGAAGGGAGTGCCGAATAATCCTGTGCCCCCGGCGCGAACACGCCCGCTGAGGCTGCAGGTGGAGCTCCTTGTGGGGCACGACTCGCGTGAGGCATGTGCCAAAATGGGCGAAGTTGCCCGACGGTGCCCGATTCATGGAATGGGGGTGCTCAAATGATCGGGGGACGATGTGCGACCTTTGTCTCTGGGACTGGGTGGTGCTCCAGGTGGGGCACGATCCGCGTGAGGGGCGGGTGTGTTGTAAATGGGCGGGGGGCGTTATGCGAACCTTGCCTCTGGGGCCGTCGGTGCAGATCTTTGTGGGGGGCACCGTCCGCGCGAGAGGGTTGCCGAACCAGGCCAGAGGCGGGATGCGAACCGTGCCTCTGGGTCCGCAGGTGGAACGCCCTGCGTGGGACCATCCGTGTGGGAGGTGTGCCGGAGTGAGGGGAGCGACAATACGCGAAGCCTCTTTCTGGCGCCGTATACGTGCAGCCTGCGGGGCGCGATCCGATCCGCGCGGGGGGCGTGCCGGTGTGCGGATCTGATCTTTGGGGCCGCAGGTGGAGCTCCCCGTGGGGCACCCTCTGAAGGTCGTGCCGAGATGGGCGGGGGACCTCGGAGCCCCGAATCATCAGGGGTAACTCGGAACTCGGGTCAGGGTGAACTCGGGTTCGTTTTTCGGGAATCCGAACCCGAGTTACCCTGGGCCCGAGCTACCCCGGATAATTCGGGCGTCCAGAGCCCCACATCATCAGGGGTAACTCGGGTCAGGGCTAACTCGGGTTCCTTTTTCGGGAATCCAAACCCGAGTTACCCCGGACCCGAGTTACCCCGGATAACTCGGGCGCCCAAGGACCGTTCTGCGAACCTTGTCTCTGGGGCCATAGGCGGAGCTCCCTGAGGAGCACGATCCGCGTGAAGGTTGTTCCAGGATAGGCGGGGGGGTTTTCGCAGTTGTTCCCATGTGGTGATCTTGACGGGTTGTTGTGCGTGCCAACCCGTTGATTGACACAACGGCTGGGCTAGAGCCCAAGCGCGGGCGAAGTGCGCGCGTGCTTCATGTGTACATATATGTTTGTAGATGTGGATTCTCAGACGTATTTATAATATAAACAACTGTGCCAGGCCCCCTCTCGGGGCGTCCTCCACCTCGCTCACATCTCGAGTACTCTCCCGGTACCGCGCTTCCCGTCCTCCCCGGGAGCCCCCACAATGTCCAAAGACAGCCCAAGACGACCCCAAGGAGCCACCACAACGTCAAAGAAAGGCCCAAGACACTCCTAAATAACCCAGGATAGCTTTCGGACGGCTCTACAGGCTCCCAGGAGGCCTCCAAGAGACCTCAAGAGAGCTCCGAGAGGCCTCCCGGGAGGTCCCCGAGAACCTAAAATCGTGTATTTTCATTGTTCTTGTCCCGGGCTTTTGGCCTTCTCACCATTTCATGCTTCCAACGCTCCAAGACGGCCGAAAAGGCCCCCAAGACCGCCCCGAGACCGCCAAAGAGGCCCCCAAGACGGCCCCAAGACGGCCCCAAGACGGGCCAAGACGGCCCCAAGACTGCCGAAGAGGCGCCCCAGACAGCTCCAGACCACCCCAGAACAGGCCC